GAGAGAGAGAGAGAGAGAGAGAGAGAGAGAGAGATGGTAAAGTGATGGACAAAGGGAACAATAGAAAAAAGAAAGGTAAAGAGCTTGATACGTCCTGTTGTTTTTGTCTTGCTTTTTCTTTATATTGTTATGTTTTGTTATTCAGCTTGTTTTCCTTTGTTTGGTTTTTGTTTGGTTTTGCTTTTGTTTTTGCATTTTTTTTGGGGGGGGGGGTGTTTTGTGTTTTTAATTTTTTGTTTGTTTGTTCGTTTTTTTATTTGGAAAGGGGGAGGGGGGTATGGGACCTGGTAAAAGATGGCGGAAGCGAGCAAACAACTGGGATATACCTAGGGCAAAAAATAAAAATATTTTAAAAAATACCAGACAGAATAAAAGGTCAAAGAACCGGGACTGATCTGCAGAATATGCCAATACCTCATTGTTTAAACTGGTTTGAAGACTGTGGCACATTCTGCTAATACAAAACTTCACAAAATGCGCGGGCGTTTCATTGTTCAACAGCCATTCTATTTTGAGGAGCTGTTAGACAGTGTGTGCTTGATGCAGTGCTTTTTATTTATAGCGTCGTACAATTCAATATAAATGAATCATTGTGTGGTACAGACAAGCCGACTATGAAACGATGGCAGTATCTTACACAATGAAGAAAGAAATGATGCCGTAGAAACATTTACAGACTCAATCAATCAGCCCCCAGGGAGGCTGGCATTTGAAGTTTTGCAACATGATAATTTGTAACTGTCGTTCACATCGATGCGTTTATCAAAGAAACTTTTAGCCAGATGAAGAAGAAGACTCTGAGTCAGACGTAAGTAAAAGACGTGGAACTACAGCAATGATAAGCTCGGGGACGGCTCACCTTTAACTATCGTCATAAATAGAGGGCGTCCTGAATAGCCTTTGCGGTTATCCAACTTTTAGCTGTTGTCGTTTTTGTTTTGTTTTGTTTTTCTATAATAAAAAAAATAGTTTGTTTATTTTAAAGGGGGTGGGGTAGGAGGGAAATTGAGAGATTGAGGGGGGGGGTGTATGGGGGTGGGATGAGAAAGAGTGATAGAGATATTAAAAGAGATGGAGAGAAAGTGGTATAAAGACACCCACATACCCACACACAAACATACACATGCACAGACAGACAGACAGACAGACAGACAGACAGACAGACAGACAGACAGACAGACA